ATGGCAAAACATCTGGTGTTTCACAATCAAATCTGGCTGGCTCAATCCCATCGCCAGGGAGCACTCTCATTATGGTGAGCAAGTAGTCATGTTTTCCAACAGATGTGGTGTATAGGTTTTGATCTCTTTGAGCCTTTGACAGGGTAACCAGCATGTAATGAACAACATCAATTCCAATGCTACCGACTCCCTTCATGTTAAAACAAAGTGATAAAAATAGATGCGTCATCTCCAAAGAAGAACGGTGGCATTTGATAATGAATTGATCAAAAGCTCATATGGTTTTTCTTAATTCACTCCACTGTGTTACCTCTTCAGCCACTTATTGTGGAATGCAAAAGGACTACAGGTAGGAAGTCGGTGCAGAGCTGCTCTCTCGAGAGATGAAGATAGAGATAGATCATATAGCGCGAGCGCGCGAGAGCGACGAGGGCTAGCGCGCGCGATGGCGACGAGTAAAGGACAATATATTATAGGGGTGAGATTATATCTAATAGGATCCGGTATCTCTATACTCTCTAGAATATAAGCGATCGGATCTCTCTCTCTCTCTCTCTCTTAGCTCAGATATCTCTCTCTCTCTCTCTCTATCCTCTCTCTCTCTCTCTCTCTCTCTCTCTCTCTCTCTCTCTCTCTCTCTCGTTGTTCACCACTGTCATAATATGCTGGAGGGAGTAAAAGAGGAGACTCCTTCAAATCCTCTGTTTTTCATCAACATCCTCCTTTTTTCTCTCCTGTCCTGTATTTTTCTCCTTGACTTTCAAATTAGTTTCTTGTCTCCTTAGCCAACCCGCCTGTTCTTTGAAGGGATATGGAGATCCTGACTAAGTGTGTTTGCCACCTTTCTTCTCTAGACAGACTGCTACATATATGTAACAACTGAGTAGCTGGCAAGCGTGCACGCACAATTTGATTCAGAGTGCTGAGATCACCTTCCTACACAAAAGGTACACTTTGAAGGAGACCCTTCTTAATGTCATGGACCTTTAAAATACATGCATGTTAATGAGCATATTCGCCTATTGAATGGAAATGCACCCTGCGTTGTCAAGCCAGAACACTGCTGTCACCAAGGCCTAGGAATCTCAAAGAAACGTCAAAGGCCTAGAAATTGGGAGTCATACTTAATCATTGTTATTGTTCTATGCAGTAGTACTACATATTACGTCAGTTGATAATGCTCTTCAATATACAATATCAGAATTTCTCAAATGTGCCATGAAATGACAAATAATCCCCAATTAATCATACAGTGGGGAGAACAAGTATTTGATACACTGCCAATTTAGCAGGTTTTCCTACTTACAAAGCATGTAGAGGTCTGTAATTTTTATCATAGGTACACTTCAACTGTGAGAGACGGAACATAAAACAAAAATCCAGAAAATCACATTGTATGATTTTTAAGTAATTCATTTGCATTTTATTGCAAGACATAAGTATTTGATACATCAGAAAAGCAGAACTTAATATTTGGTACATAAACCTTTGTTTGCAATTACAGAGATCATACGTTTCCTGTAGGTCTTGACCAGGTTTGCACACACTGCAGCAGGGATATTGGCCCACTCCTCCATACAGACCTTCTCCAGATCCTTCAGGTTCCGGGGCTGTCACTGGGCAATACGGACTTTAAGCTCCCTCCAAAGATTTTCTATTGGGTTCAGGTCTGGAGACTGGCTAGGCCACTCCAGGACCTTGAGATGCTTCTTACGGAGCCACTCCTTAGTTGCCCTGACTGTGTGTTTCGGGTCGTTGTCATGCTGGAAGACCCAGCCACGACCCATCTTCAATGCTCTTACTGAGGGAAGGAGGTTGTTGGCCAAGATGTCGCGATACATGGCCCCATCCATCCTCCCCTCAATACGGTGCAGTCGTCCTGTCCCCTTTGCAGAAAAGCATCCCCAAAGAATGATGTTTCCACCTCCATGCTTCACGGTTGGGATGGTGTTCTTGGGGTTGTACTCATCCTTCTTCTTCCTCCAAACACAGCGAGTGGAGTTTAGACCAAAAAGCTCTATTTTTGTCTCATCAGACCACATGACCTTCTCCCATTCCTCCTCTGGATCATCCAGATGGTCATTGGCAAACTTCAGACGGGCCTGGACATGCGCTGGCTTGAGTAGGGGGACCTTGCGTGCACTGCAGGATTTTAATCCATGACGGCGTAGTGTGTTACTAATGGTTTTCTTTGAGACTGTGGTCCCAGCTCTCTTCAGGTCATTGACCAGGTCCTGCCGTGTAGTTCTGGGCTGATCCCTCACCTTCCTTATGATCATTGATGCCCCACGAGGTGAGATCTTGCATGGAGCCCCAGACCGAGGGTGATTGACCGTCATCTTGAACTTCTTCCATTTTCTAATAATTGCGCCAACAGTTGTTGCCTTCTCACCAAGCTGCTTGTCTATTGTCCTACTCTCTGGTCTTGGCCATTGTGGAGAGGTTGGAGTCTGTTTGATTGAGTGTGTGGACAGGTGTCTTTTATACAGGTAACGAGTTCAAACAGGTGCAGTTAATACAGGTAATGAGTGGAGAACAGGAGGGCTTCTTAAAGAAAAACTAACAGGTCTGTGAGAGCCGGAATTCTTACTGGTTGGTAGGTGATCAAATACTTATGTCATGCAATAAAATGCAAATGAATTACTTAAAAATCATACAATGTGATTTTCTGGATTTTTGTTTTAGATTCCGTCTCTCACAGCTGAAGTGCACCTATGATAAAAATTACAGACCTCTAAATGCTTTGTAAGTAGGAAAACCTGCAAAATCGGCAGTGTATCAAATACTTGTTCTCCCCACTGTATATCGCTCCAATTTACAGCCTTTGGTTTTCTTAAATTTCCTGGTGTGCCATTGTGCTGGGATTAGGGAGAGTTATACAAACCAGCGAACATTTTAGCCGCCAAATCCCCTCTTTCATCTTATAGCGAATCCCTACCAGTCAACAAAAGACGGCCTCAATGCGCTAATTAGTGAATCCTGTGATTTCATTAAGTCCCATTAACTGTAATTAAGATGGCAACGACGGGCCCACATGACAGAATGACAGTCGTCGAGAGGTCATCAGGGAGAAAAAAAGTGTACCTGATTGGGATTGGAGGACTGGAGCAGGGCTGACAGTTTTCAAATTTTTGGTGTTAATCTTAACGTACAGTAGTGGTATTTTGTTGGGGCGTTGTGACACCTGTCATTGGTGACACTATTGTTAAATTAAAAGGATCATGTTTGACGGCGCATGAATTCCAGTGTCCTACTTTTTGTGGATATCTTGCGGGTGTTTGGCTCAGTCTACCTTATATAAATAATAACAATATGCCACTTAGTGTACAGTGAGTGCATTCCTTTTTAGAATGTGATCGGCAGGTGAAAAGGGCTAATATCCTTACTGTCCGCCTGTGTAACTTAGGCTCTATTCATGTGAGGTGGAGAGAGAGGCCTCTGTGTTTCTCTCAGTGTCTTTTGTCACTTTGCTCAAACGGCCATTAAAGTGGCTTTAGACAGGAGTGGACAGTAAATATTTCATGATGGGCCACCAGGTGCTAAAGCAAATGCTAATTTATTTATACCGGCTGGTTTCTTCATACTAAAGGACTTTTATTCCTTTCTTTTGATAACAGAGACAGGTTGTCGTGTGTGTGTGTGTGTGCGTGAGTGTGCAAGTGTGTGTGTGTGCCCGTAGAGACACTGGTTATATCCTCAGTCTGAAACATTAAAACACTTAATCACTCTAGCTGCTGGCCAGCCCCTGTGTGTGTGTGTGTAGTGTGTGTGTGTGTGGGTCTATGAATGATTAAAAGAGCACAGGGCTTGTGATAATGTCGTCTTAATGCAGTGCAAGGACTTCATGACTAAAGAACAAACTACAGTAATGACAGTAGTAGGATATCCTGTCTATGTGTGAGGGACAACTTCAGGCCTACCGGCTAGCATATTTGCAGTCTGTACACTGATATACAGTGGGGAGAACAAGTACTTGATACACTGCCGATTTTGCAGGTTCCTACTTACAAAGCATGTAGAGGTCTGTAATTTTTATCATAGGTACACAATAAAATGCAAATTAATTACTTAAAAATCATACAATGTGATTTTCTGGATTTTTGTTTTAGATTCCGTCTCTCACAGTTGAAGTGTACCTATGATAACAATTACAGACCTCTACATGCTTTGTAAGTAGGAAAACCTGCAAAATCAGCAGTGTATCAAATACTTGTTCTCCCCACTGTACGTACACACACACTTTCTCGCTCTCTCTTACACACACACACACACACACACACACACACACACACACACACACACACGCCTGGGCATTTAGTGCCAGACAAATTACATCCGTAGGTTTCGTGGAGAGCTCGAAGGCAGCACTAGCAGCAAAGGCCAACGAGGGAAGGATAACATAGCTGGGGTGTGGGAACCTGCCAACGCTGTTATTGATTTCTCTCTCAACAGGTGACAAATGAAAAAGGCCCAAACCACCGTTTGTGCTCCCAGGCAAGCATATTGCATATTTCTGTTTATTTACAGCACTGTGCAAATCAAAGGAGAGACACCCTTGACCACAATCTGTGCTTCCAGAAGAAGTACCTGGAAACATAAGAGGAAGAATCGAGAAGTAGAGAGAGAAGGAGATTGAGATTGTTCATCTTTGGAGAGAACAACTTCATTCTCATCTTCAAAAGGCAAAACAAGTTCTGCTTGCTCAGATCAAATGCCCACATTAATACATGGTGATCATGTTAAAAAACTAAATATTTTGGTGTGGATAATATCGCCAGCCTCCCAAGCCAATTACAATCAATTAGGACGGAGGGCCGTCAGAGGGAGACGGCTGTGGTGGTTGGTGGCTAGCGAGGGCCATTTGTGGGGTGAAATAAATTGTGGGAGCGAGAGGAGGAGAGGAAGACAGTGGCGGGAGTGAGGGCAGGGTGTTAATTGGTGTGTGTGTTCATGTGTGTGCGACATGCGTGTGTGTAGGGCTGTTTGACGTGTGAATAGGCCTACCTGACAGGGGCGCCTTGGCTCTGGGCAGGCTTCAGCAGGACAGTGACCGTGCTGTCTGTCTGGTTCAGGGGAGTCTCCTGGTCATAGCCTGGCATCAACGGAGCTGGGGGGGGACACAGGAGCACAGGAGAGTGTGATTTGACTGACAAATACAGACAGACAGAGCCATAACAGCAAGTACACACAAATGCAGACAACCAGGAACAACAAACACTGCTATAGATTACTGGGGATCTCCTGGAGGATTTAGGGCTCTACAGTACATGTTGTCCAGGATTATTGGTTAGTTGGTCCTGGTCATTGTTTCTACTCACCTGAGATCTTGGTGGTGAACTGGGTGATGATGGGGGGTCCGAATCCCTTGACGGTGCTGGCCCGGATGGTGAAGGAGTAGGTGGAGCCGGGGTAGAGACCTACGAACACGTGGGACGTCTCGTTGCTGAACTTAAACACCTTGCCGCTCTGGTTGGTCAGGTCAAACTCTGTGTCGAAGGAGCTCAAGGCCTTGTAGGAGATCTGTGGATTGACACAAGCTAGATTAGATGATTGGAGATGACAAGTTTATATCTATGTTTCAAAACTAGCGTCAGGCTTGCTATGGTCATAGCTATGGTTAGTTTTGGTGTATGGTAAGGATAATGGGGTACATCTATAAAACTATAATGTACTACAATGCTGAAAGAGTTGGAGCACGAAGTTAGAGTTGCATCCAGAGCCCTTGATAGTGAAACAAGGCCTGAACTTTCCATAGAAGCTTCATTCAAGTCTGTCACAATGTTGGAAAGGGAGGAACTTGTGGGCAAAACTGCAGAGAGATAACGCTCAGCTCCAATGTCATTTCCGTGATGGATTGAATAAGCGAGAGTTTGGGCGGGGGGTGGGAAACTGTTGTTTTATTCTAAACCCCCCCATCCCATTCCATCGAGCAGGAGATTGGAGCCCCGGGAATTTCTTTCTGAAAGGGAGTGCTCTCTCTCTTGGAAAGCTTCATTTAAATAAATCATTCGGTCTCCCCTATTAGAAAGCGCCATTATTATTCAGTTCTGATTCCCAATTAAGAAGCACAATGGGGAGTGTTGGAGTGCGGTGGCGGCCATTTGTATCCATCAGGTGTGAAATGCTGCTGCTCAGGACTTCATCAGGAGGGCGGGAGGGAGGCAGGGAGGGAAGAAGGAACGCATCTGGATCATTTAAAAAGGCTAGATAGCTAGCGTTGAGCAGTATTATCACACACAAGGCTGATTGGTGGGGTGAGGGATTTTCAGTTTAGAAAGGGGTTGGGAAAGGAGGATTAGATAGGGTTCAGTTAGGAAAAGGAACAGGGGAAGTCACCATGGTGACTTTGGTCATGTTTTGGTCAGTGCCACACAAGGCAACACTGAATGGTATGATGACACCTTCACCTTGGCAAATCTGCTCCAAACAATGAATGACACACTTGCAATGAACAGAAACAGAAACAACATTTCCTAGTGAACAACTCCTAGGTAGTCCTACATACAGAGCTATTGAAGTACTTAATGACTTATGACAATAAAAGTTTGCTTGTACCACCAGTCATAATAGAATAGCCCTGAATTCATCTGAACGCAAGGGCCACCTGTACATCTTCAAGGCAATGCCCCAAAGAACGAGCCCACACTACAATTGCCGAACTGAGACAAAGCACAATAAAGATGTGACAACCCTGAACAAAAAGCTGTTTTGGAGTGAGAGGTGCATGGCTCACAGTCAAATACTGAAGAGCATATGAGACAAGCTGAATGTCAGCGAATGATAGTAATAATGGGGTTGACTCCATCAGTCTAATGAGGCAGAAAAAAACGTTTGATTTGTCCAACTGGATCACAATCCCAGCTCAGAGTTACAGGGGGTGGAAGTGACAGAATATAATTTAATTATGTGCATACCTGACAGCTTAATTGGATAATTTTTGCATAAATTGGGTTCTGGTACAATGGCTCTTTTGAACGCACTAAAAAGCCTCTAACGTCGCATTGTGTGACGAGCGGAAGTGCATGTCAAACGCAAGTCAAACGCTGCGATGGGAGAAACATGTAGGACTACAGTAGCCTATGCACATGTACAGTGCTTTACAACAATTGTTTTATGTACAAATGTGGATTATAGGAAACCACACAGCTATAAGACTCAAACAGTTATTAAGTTGTGAAAGTTATTTTGAGGTTGTGCAAATGTTGAAGAGGGCCAGATGTTTCCGTCTTGACACCACAGTGTTGTTGAAGGGTATTTCAAAAGTCTGCAATCTTTATAAATACTGGATGATGTCAGACAGATGAAGTGCAGCATGTTTCACCCTGTCTAAGGTATGCCCCACGCTCCTGTTAAAGGTCCTATGACAACCAGGCTCAACTACTGTATGCCTCCAGTTTCTATTCCAGCAGCTTGAGGAATAACTCTACGGTTGTTAACTGCCTATTTTAACAGTGTTCGCTACAATCATACGTTTGGTCCCTTCCATCTTTGAAGATCATACTGTATATTCTCTGATTGACTCACAATTGATTTATGAGAACATATCACAAGGAAGAGATACTTCAGTAATATTCAATAAAAGAGGTATCCCGTTCTGCCACACTGCTGACTTGTGCATACTCACTAACTCAGAGAAACAATTATACTTTTGACTTATCCCCAAAACTTGGAATACGGGAGTCTGATTGAACAAGGCCCCAAGTTGTAACTTTAATTTCCTCCCTGGTTGTTGGAGAAACTTGTTTAATTCCTTGTCAGTTGTATTACGAGCTCCACTCTGGGGCACAGGGCTGAGATGGTTTTGGGAGTGCTGTCGGAGTGCTGTCGGAGGGGGTTCAGCGGGTAATAGATTGTGTTAACAAGCCTCAGTGCGTGCAGGCCTTAAGGTTATTAGGTTGGATTTATTAGATAATTAAGGGCCCGGAGTGAATGAAAGATGGAAGCCGCCCGGCTCCTGCCAGGCACAAGATGGATGTGTTGAGAGAGAGAGAGAGAGAGACAGAGAGAGAGACAGAGAGAGAGAGAGAGAGAGACAGAGAGAGAGAGAGAGACAGACAGAGACAGACAGACAGACAGACAGAGACAGAGATACAGACAGAGAGCGAGCGAGAGAAAGACAGACAGACAGAGAGCGAGCGAGACCGAGAGAGAAAGACAGACAGAGGAAGACAGAGAGAGACACAGACGGAGAGAGACAGACGGAGAGAGACAGATGGAGAGACACAGAGAGAGAGACAGAGAGAGAGACACAGAGAGCGAGACAGAGAGAGCGAGACACAGACGGAGCGAGACACAGACAGAGCGAGACACAGAGAGAGAGCGAGACACAGAGAGAGAGCGAGACACAGAGAGAGAGCGAGACAGAGAGAGAGCGAGAGAGAGAGCGAGAGACACAGAGAGAGAAAGAGAGCAGAAACCTACCAGAAAACAATTAGCCAACACCAATTTCAATCCCTTTTAGACAACTTCCTGGACAAAATGTTTCACTGCAAAAGTGAAGGGGTAAACTTGGCAGTAGAAAGCCTAAATAGTACATTTGACCTCTCAGCTTCCCTATCAAATCTAAACATTTCAACCAGACAACCTAAGAAAATGAACAACAATGACAAATGGTTTGATGAAGAATGCAAAAACCTAAGAAAGGAATTGAGGAACCTATCCAACCAAAAACACAGAGACCCAGAAAACCTGAGCCTACGCCTTCACTATAGAGCCCCACAGTGGAGATGTTATAATACCCATAAAACCTAGCGGTCAAACAGGGAAATGGTTCCAATTGTTTTTCCACCATTCATTTTTCCCATTTTGGAAACACTTAAAATAAGGGCTGTGTTTCGTGTAGGCTTACCCTGACGTAACGTTTTGATAACCATGTAAAATCTCTCTTGGACAAGTTGACTTTTAACAATATACATTGCTCAAAAAAATAAAGGGAACACTTAAACAACACAATGTAACTCCAAGTCAATCACACTTCTGTGAAATCAAACTGTCCACTTAGGAAGCAACACTGATTGACAATAAATGTCACATGCTGTTGTGCAAATGGAATAGACAACAGGTGGAAATTATAGGCAATTAGCAAGACACCCCCAATAAAGGACTGGTTTTGCAGGTGGTGACCACAGACCACTTCTCAGTTCCTATGCTTCCTGGCTGATGTTTTGGTCACTTTTGAATGCTGGCGGTGCTTTCACTCTAGTGGTAGCATGAGACGGAGTCTACAACCCCCACACAAGTGGCTCAGGTAGTGCAGCTCATCCAGGATGGCACATCAATGCGAGCTGTGGCAAGAAGGTTTGCTGTGTCTGTCAGCGTAGTGTCCAGAGCATGGAGGCGCTACCAGGAGACAGGCCAGTACATCAGGAGACGTGGAGGAGGCCGTAGGAGGGCAACAACCTATCAGCAGGACTGCTACCTCCGCCTTTGTGCAAGGAGGAGCAGGAGGAGCACTGCCAGAGCCCTGCAAAATGACCTCCAGCAGGCCACAAATGTGCACGTGTCTGCTCAAACGGTCAGAAACAGACTCCATGAGGGTGGTATGAGGGCCCGACGTCCATAGGTGGGGGTTGTGCTTACAGCCCAACACCGTGCAGGACGTTTGGCATTTGCCAGAGAACACCAAGATTGGCAAATTCGCCACTGGCGCCCTGTGCTCTTCACAGATGGAAGCAGGTTCACACTGAGCACATGTGACAGACGTGACAGAGTCTGGAGACGCCGTGGAGAACGTTCTGCTGCCTGCAACATCCTCCAGCATGACCGGTTTGGCGGTGGGTCAGTCATGGTGTGGGGGGTGGCATTTCTTTGGGGGGGCCGCACAGCCCTCCATGTGCTCGCCAGAGGTAGCCTGACTGCCATTAGGTACCGAGATGAGATCCTCAGACCCCTTGTGAGACCATATGCTGGTGCGGTTGGCCCTGGGTTCCTCCTAATGCAAGACAATACTAGACCTCATGTGGCTGGAGTATGTCAGCAGTTCCTGCAAGAGGAAGGCATTGATGCTATGGACTGGCCCGCCCGTTCCCCAGACCTGAATCCAATTGAGCACATCTGGGACATCATGCCTCGCTCCATCCACCAACGCCACGTTGCACCACAGACTGTCCAGGAGTTGGCGGATGCTTTAGTCCAGGCCTGGGAGGAGATCCCTCAGGAGACCATCCGCCACCTCATCAGGAGCATGCCCAGGCGTTGTAGGGAGGTCATACAGGCACATGGAGGCCACACACACTACTGAGCCTCATTTTGACTTGTTTTAAGGACATTACATCAAAGTTGGATCACCCTGTAGTGTGGTTTTCCACTTTAATTTTGAGGGTTACTCCAAATCCAGACCTCCATGGGTTGATAAATTTGATTTCCATTGATAATTTTTGTGTGATTTTGTTGTCAGCACATTCAACTATGTAAAGAAAAAAGTATTTAATAAGATTATTTCATTCATTCAGATCTAGGATGTGTTATTTTAGTGTTCCATTTATTTTTTTGAGCAGTGTATTTGGCATACTTATCATACTGTGGTACTCTATGGTGAAACACTAAAACAGTGCAAAAATACACAAGGAACAGCACGTCAGAAATCAGCTCAATGTAATTGAAGAATCCATAGAATCTAACCACTTCTGAGAAAATTGGAACACACTAAAACAACAAAAGGAAGAGCTATCTATCCAAAATGGAGATGTATGGATAAACCACTTCTCCAATCTTGTTGGCCCTATAACAAAGAACAAACAGCCAAAACATATACATGATCAATTAAACATTTTAGAGTTAGCTATTAAAAAGACTACCAGAACCCACTGGATTCTCCAATTACATTGAATGAACTACATGACAAAATACAAACCCTTCAATCAAAAAAAAAGGCCTGTGGTGTTGATGGTCTCCTAAATGAAATGATCAAATATACAGACCACAAATTTCAATTGTCTATACTTAAACATCATCCTCAGCTCTGGCATCTTACCCAGTACTTGGAACCAAGGACTGATCACCCCAATCCACAAAAGTGGAGACAAATTCGACCCCAATAACTACTGTGGGATATGCGTCAACAGCAACCTTGGGAAAATCGTCTGCATTATCATTAATAGCAGACTCCTACATTTCCTCAGTGAAAACAATGTCCTGAGAAAATGTCAAGAAACACAATTAGACCCAACCATGAGAAAACAAAAATATAATTACTTGGCACATTGGAAAAAAATCAACAGAAAAGCAGAGCAAACTGGAATGTTATTTGGCCCTAAATAGAGAGTACACAGTAGCAGAATATCTGACCACCGTGCCTGACCCACAATTAAGAAAATCCTTGACTATGTACAGACTCAGTGAGCATGGCCTTGCTATTGACAGAGGCTGCCAACAAAATGAGGTGGAAACAGAGCTGCACTTCCTAACCTGCCAAATATAGAGACACATATTTCCCTGAGATTACACAGACCCACAAAGAATTTGAAACCAAAACCAATCTTGATAAACTCCCATATCTATTAGGTGAAATACCACATTGTGCCACCACAGCAGCAAGATGTACGACCTGTTGCCACAAGAAAAGGGCAAGCAGTGGAGTACAAACACCATTGTTAATACAACCTATAATTATCTGTTTATTTTCCCTTTCATACTTCAACTATTTGCACATCGTTACAACACTGTACATAATAAATAATATAACATTTGAAATGTCTCTATTCTATTAAAACTTTTGTGAGTGTAATGTTGACTGTTAATTTCCCATTTGCTTATTGTCTATTCCACTTGCTTTGGCAATGAAAACACATGTTTCCCATGCTAATAAAGCCTCTTTGAATTGAATTGACAGAGAGCGAGAAACAGAGAGACACACAGAGAAAGAGACAGAGACCGAGGGGGGGGGGGGGGGGGGGGGGGGAGACAGAGAGAACGAGAGCTGGGCCTGGGTGGGCGGATGGGCTCGGCAGTTTCCAAGATGATCTTACCTCATACTGCTTAATGATAATGTAGGTCTGGACGGGCTCACGCTTATCTTACCTCATACTGCTTAATGATACCGTAGGTCTGGACGGGCTCGCGCCATCGCAGGGCGATCTTCTCCTCGTACGTGCTCCCCTGGATGGACTCGAGTGGCACAGCACCAGGCACTAAGGAGGAGAGGGAAGAGGGGGAAATAAATTCAGAGCAAATTAAATATCGACCATTTTCGATATTGAGCCACTTCAACATCCTATTACTATCATAAATCGACATCGTGATTCCCATAGATTGGGTGGTTGGTTGGCGGCGAACTTGCTCCAGACCGCACTTGAACGGTTTGGTGAAAAGGATCACCTGAGGTCTCATGGGGGAGCAGGGCGGTCATGGTTGTGCAGCTGTCGGTCTATTCATTCTCCCTGACCCCAGTGAGGTCCTGAAACGTCTGTACAGTACATTTAGTCAAGCTGGATGTTCTGATATTGTCTCTTTCAACTACTTCAATAAGACACATTTGATGGAACCTCCTAAAAGCTGTGAGAGCACAGCATGGTTTGTTTTCCTTTATTGACTTGACAGCATTGCTGTAGATACACTACAGTAAACTGATACAGAGGCTTTACAGCGTGGCTGTAGATACACTACAGTAAACTGATACAGGGGCTTTACAGCGTGGCTGTAGGTACACTACAGTAAACTGATACAGAGGCTTTACAGCGTGGCTGTAGGTACACTACAGTAAACTGATACAGAGGCTTTACAGCGTGGCTGTAGGTACACTACAGTAAACTGATACAGAGGCTTTACAGCGTGGCTGTAGGTACACTACAGTAAACTGATACAGAGGCTTTACAGCGTGGCTGTAGGTACACTACAGTAAACTGATACAGAGGCTTTACAGCGTGGCTGTAGGTACACTACAGTAAACTGATACAGAGGCTTTACAGCGTGGCTGTAGGTACACTACAGTAAACTGATACAGAGGCTTTTCAGCGTGGCTGTAGGTAACCTACAGTAAACTGATACAGAGGCTTTACAGCGTGGCTGTAGGTACACTACAGTAAACTGATACAGAGGCTTTACAGCGTGGCTGTAGGTACACTACAGTAAACTGATACAGAGGCTTTACAGCGTGGCTGTAGGTACACTACAGTAAACTGATACAGGGGCTTTACAGCGTGGCTGTAGGTACACTACAGTAAACTGATGCAGCGCTCTGTTGTATATTGAATCAGAAGCATAACAAATTAGCATTAGGGTGAAGGACAGCTAGAGAATGTATGGACTCACTGGCAAAAAAGTTAAATGAAAGGAAAGCAAACCATTCCATTTCCTTACTCATAACAGGGTCAAAGGTTTCTAGTTTCTACATTTCTTTTTGAAAAGAGGTGCAACTTAAATGCACCTCCTATACTCGTGGAAAAGTTAAATTTGTTATCACACAGATAATTCCATTAGAGGTCCTTTGAACATTTGATATCAATTTGAATAACCTCCAAAGGGCTATTGAGGAGCAGAGTGAGATTGTAATTTTCAAATGGCCTTGACTCTTTATTTCTTCAAACTACAAGGAGGAAACAAACAAAGGAAGCATCACAGAAGTAGATGTAGGTGTACGTATCAAAAGGAGGTAATGTAAGTGCTTTCAAATAACTATCTTTCCCTTATTGAAACACAAGCCCTCATGCTTTTGTGCGCTCTTAGGCCCCAATGATGACCTTGAAAAGATGAATGTTGGAAGTGTTGGCAGGGCAGAGTTGGAATCAATTATATTTCAATTTCTTTCACTATCTCCTTCCTTCCCTCTCTCTTCTTCCCATTCTCTCTCCCCCCCCCACCCTCTCGCTCTCTCCCCCACACCCTCTCGCTCTCTCCCCCCCCAGCCTCTCGCTCTCTCCCCCCCCCAGCATCTCGCTCTCTCCCCCCAGCATCTCCCTCCCCCCCTCTCTAGCTCTCTCCACCTAGCCTCTCGCTCTCTCCCCCACCCTCTCCCTCCCCCTCCCCTCTAGCTCTCTCCCTCCCTCTCCTCTAGCTCTCTCCCTCCCACTCTCTCACTCTCCCCACCCCTCTCGCTCTCCCCCCCCCCCCTCGCTCTTCCCCCCCCCCACCAGGTCTCCCTCTCTCGGTACACCCACCATCCTCGTCAGTCAGCACGTCCACGTCCGTGCTCTGCTTGATGCCCTCTGGGTTCCTCAGCACCAGCTTGACGCTGACGTTGGTGTAGGGCGACAGGTTCCGGATGGTGTGCTGCGGAGCCACACTCAGGGTGTCGTAGCACACCTCCTCCCGGGTCTCCTCCTTGCCGCCAGACCGGTAGCGGTACTGGACAGTCAGGTTGTAGCTGTGGCAGCGAGTCACGTTGTAGCCGAAGGGCTCCCAGCGCACTGTGATCTGCTTGGACTTGATGTCCACCACCTCCAGTCTTCGGGGGCCGTGCATGGGGTCTTCAGAGGAGACAGGAGGAGAGAAAGTTAGTCAATCATAAAGATAACATTAACACTAATTTATCACAGCCTGTGTCAAACATGGAGATTATTTCACATATTCAAACATTTGTCAAAAATATTTTAATATAGCTTTTTGTTATCTAAAGGCAAGGAATGTTGGCAAGCATTAAAAACAACATCCCAATCCCCCTAACTACCCAACCTTTACCTTCTGTGGCACTGTGTAAACCCCTCGCCTACCCGCTCTGACTGGGAATGGTAATGCTCCCAACACTGATCCTTGGGGTACCCACACTCTGACAGGGAATAGTAATGCTCCCAACACTGATCGTTGGTGTACCTCGTCTGTACAGACAGCCCCATGCTCTAGAACCCATCAGATTTGATAAGACATCCATGGTTCCGGCTCTCTGAGCTCTACTCTCTCCCATGTGTTGGCAAAGACAGCAACACATAGCACTAATAGGATACATTTTTCATCCTGGGTTCAATTGGCAATCCATCGCTGTGGAATTTAGCGCTCTAACACTTAAGTAAGAGTTACATGGGCCATGCTGCTCTCTGACCGCGGGAGCCACCAGATAGGCAATTTGGTGAGCCCGGGTGGACTCTGATGAGGAGACCAAGCTCCAATTGAAGCTGGATGGAAACCATGAGTGGGCAAAACCCATTCAACTGTACTTTTATCATCCTCTCCATGTTCACAGACTCTGTGACAAACATTAGGTCAGAGATAAAAACCTGGGAGGTTTAATGCCATGGCAACAATGACAGAAAAGGAGATGCCCAGTGGTTTAACATTTTCCACTTCTCTTTCTGCTGACATTGAGAGGACATCTTGAAAAACATGCAGCTCATGGACAGGACTCTATTTCATCCTGGGTTTATATGAATATCCAAGTATCTAAGTATATAGAGTCCATTTTCTTTATATGTATTTCTATTCGGAGCACGAGGGAGCCGAGATTAAAACAAGGGGGTTGGGAGCACCTTTTAATCAGTAGTCTTGTAATAAAGCTCTCGGGATGGCGTTTTACAGGCAGAAATCAGATTCTGACAAGCCAGTCACTCGCACTCCTTAGATTTATGGCATTAATCACTAAAATCAGAACATTCTGCACTTCCAGAAAGTCTCTGAAGTCATCAACTTTTAACTTTAGCTGAATCTAGAAGTGCAGCCAACTACATGTATCACAGAGATGATCAGACAAGAGAGATGGATGAAAGGATATCTAAAAGCAATATTACTCTATTTTTACACTCACTTTTGCTCAACATCCCAAAGGACTAAGACCTTTTTGATTATGACAGAATCTAATCCACTAATCTCATATTGTCTGTTATGTAGATTTTGATCAATCAAATATTGTCCAAGGCCTAGATTCCACTCCATTGTAATCCTACATTTGGCTGGATATTTTCATTTAACTTCAATCATGTGCCGTATCTACTAAACACAAGTGGATTATAGGGAGGATCAGTGGAGTATTTTCCAAGAATACAGGCATAAGCTAGCAGATAACCTCTATTCAATTTCCTAAACACAGGATCAGAGCGCTGTGTTGTGTAAATGTGTGAAGATGATATACTGTGAGAGGAAAGCAAGGTCACACTCACTGTTATGGGGAGAAAGAGAAAGACTACTATGGCTGGCCTCCCACCTAGAGCCACTCCAACCGAGGAATGCTAAGAGAATACGCTATACCACAAAGGCTTAGTAGTGAATGTGTGTGTGAGGATGACAAGTCAGAATCAAACCCTGCGTTCTTCTTTCGTGTTGGTCCGCAATAGCTTGTAGGCCAATGCATGCTCATTACAACGCAATACTAAGTGTAAGATTAAAGCACAAGTACAAAAACAATGTTTTATTGATATACCTTTTAATATCACTGAGTAAGCTGCAAGGCTCGAACCTTTGTCGTACGAAATCAAAGATGTAGATTTCAAGAGGACAGGACTGTCTTTGTATTGAGAGCAGCATTGTGGGAGAAAAAAGGGAGAAGGGGGGAGAAAATTGCCACACAAAAGACACATCCTCTCTTCTTTCCTTGACTGTTGATGCAATTGAGAGAGCTTGAGAGCTTCTGTGGACTGAACTAAAAGCTTCTTTGGCTCGAAGCTGCATCTATCACACAACAAACTCCCCGTGTTGAAAAAATGGGGGACAGTTGCGGTGCAGGTGTGGGACTTGAAAATGCCAAAAGTGTATTTTCTGTTCCCTCTAGTCTTTGATGCATATCCAAAGGGCCTGTGAGTGTTCTCGGAAGAGCAGGCTAGAATGTTTCTGGTGATGACAGTCGGGTTACATTGGTCTGTGGCTCTTTGGTTTAGGTACTGTTGAGTACAGGTAGCCTGCCTTATAATGCAGGGACAGATGGACACTGTGGGCCATTCAGATCTGCCCTCAGTTGATCAGGAAGACAATTGTCCTCCAATATCCTCAACATATATATTTTGTCTATTCTGTTACTAGGAAGTGGTGGTGGAATTATGCCAGATATCTCCATTTCACCTCATAGGCACATTAGTTTCAATGCACTTTTTCCACAGTTGACATCACATGAACATAGTCTATGACAAAGCACTATCTATCATCTGTGATTCCATGGTCTCCTCACCTATACAGCATTCACTTACCTGATCCCATTTGGCTCTTAAAAGCTAGGATTGAGGATAGGTACCTCTTACTAAAATACAGTTTCCAAGTCTGCAGTGCACTTTCCCATTGTACTTGTACGACGGTGCAATCCAGAGCCCACTGTGTGTAACATTGTCACCGTTCTAAACTGTAATCACTGGCTGAACTGATGGGTAGCTCAGCTGGATAGTAGGCCTGAGGATTCTTCCACTGCACATCTAGTCTTCTTCACTATTCAGGAGCTGCAGCCTAAGTGTCTGCCGACGCTGCGAGACATTCAAAGTAAGCCAGAGGAGGGGTGAGCACAATGGCAATTGGGCCTAGCCGTGGAAGAGTGCTTACTGTTTCCTTTATGTGTTGATTGCGCATAGAAAAGCATCACTTTGAATACTTGAAAGCATAATTGGAGCACTTCGGCATAATACCCCTTAAAATGTCCTACTGGAAAGCAGGAGAGCAAAAACATTTTGGGGGTCAAAAGTTCCTTTTCAATAGCACATTTTGTTTCATTTCGCATAATAATGAATTAGAGTAAAAGTGGTGGTGACAGAGGTGTATGATGAAACCTAAGGGCTCTGTGCAGGACAGTCAAGTTCTTCCACACCGATCTCGACAAACCATTTCTGTATGGAACTTACTTTGTGCACGGGGGGCATTGTCATTCTGAAACAGGAAAGGGCCTTCCCCAAACTGTTGCTACAAAGTTGGAAGCACAGAATCATCTAGAATGTCATTGTATGCTGTAGCGTTAAGATTTCCCTTCACTGGAACTAAGGGGCCTAGCTCTAACCATTAAAAAACAGCCCCAGACCATTATTCCTCCTCCACCAAACTTTACAGTTCGCACTACGCATTGGGGCAGTTAGCGTTCTCCTGCCATCCGCCAAACCCAGGTTTGTCCGTCGGACTGCCAGATGGTGAAGCGTGATTCATCACTCCAGAGAACACGTTTCCACTGCTCCAGAGTCCAATGGCAGCGAGCTTTACACCACTCCAGCCGACGCTTGGCATTGCGCATGGTGATCTTAGGCTTGTGTGCGGATGCTCGGCCATCAAAACCCAGCTCCCGACAAACAGTTTTTGTGCTGATGTTGCTTCCAGAGGCAGTTTGGAACTCGGTAGTGAGTGTTGCAACCGAGGACAGGTGATTTTTACGCACTACACACTTCAGAGGTCCCGTTCTGTGAGCTTGTGTGGCCTACCACTTCGCGGCTGAGCCATTGTTGCTCCTAGACGTTTCCACTTCACAATAACAGCACTTACAGTTGACCGGAGCAGCTCTAGCAGGGCAGAAATTTACGAATTCACTTGTTGGAAAGGTGGCATCCTATGACGGTGCCACGTTGAAAGTAACTGAGCTCTTCAGTACGGGCAATTCTACTGCCAATGTTTGTCTACGGAGATTGCACGGTTCTGTGCTCGATTTTATACACCTGTCATCAACGGGTGTAGTTGAAATAGCCGGATCCACTAATTTGAAGGGGTGTCCACATACAAAATATATACAAAAATATCTTCACAGGAGATCGGGAAGGCTCGGGCCTTTTCAAAAGCAAACACAGCCAACTAATCTGTGAGCGCCCTTTTTAAAACCCTGGGGCGCGCTCCAAAACTGTCGGCAGATCAAAGGGGGGAGTGATGGGGAGTGTTTAGAAGAGCAGAGCAATTACTGGATGGCTATTAACAGGAGCACATTCACAGCTGACGTAGAAATACTGTACAGTATATGCTATACCATAACCGTACCACTGAATCTTACTCAAAGAGAGAGAACAAGGAGGGAGAATGAGACAGAGAGAGAGAGAGAGAGAGAGAGAGAGTAAAAAAGAGAGAGCGAGATTGAGAGAATAGAGAGAGCAGAGGAAGACAGAGAGAATTGAAAGAGCCAAGAGGAAGAACATGAGAAAGGGAGAGAGAGAGTGATAGAAAGACAGAGAAATGTAGAGTTAGCCAAGAAAGAGAAAGAGAGATAGATAGGCGAGAAAGTGAGTTGTGACAGTAAACAGCCCACAGGGCCTCTTACCCCCTTCCACCCATAAATCAATAACTCCAGCATTCCAGATCCCTGGGAATTCATTACCAGTCAACAGGAGCGGTGTTCTGTACACTACACTTATGTCCTGACCACAGCAATAATTCCGCTCCTTCACAATTCCCCGAGCATCGAACGGACAGCGGGAAAATAATAATTAATGTTCATGAATGCCCTAAACGATGACCCCTGACCCCAGCATGGAGGAGGAAGACAAAGAGAAAGAGAGAGTCTCTCTATTAAAACCCAGCAGAGAGGGGGTCTATAATTGGCCATTCAGAGTGAGGTCAACATATCAACCACTCAGAGGAGACACTGGAGGCTGCACACAGTAGCTCCTAACAGGCAGTGTACAAAGCATACAGTAGGGTCTGCATGGCCTAACTGAACTTGGATAGGCTATCAGCAGAAAATGACATCAAAACTAAGCATGTCACACCTTGCTATGACAAATACGAGGATGGAGATGATCGAATAAAAATATACCTCTATCTGTTCTATTGGGACAAAACCTTGACGTGCGTTTCTCCTCTAGAGGCCTTCTCCGAGATGTTGTGGCGCGCACACACGCGTTATCTCAGCCAGACGGCGCGACTGCCCAAATCAGCTGACCTTCTGTTTACGATCCCTCTTTCCCTCCCTCCACATCATCCTCTTCAGAGTGTCACCCCCCCCCCCCCACCCCCTCCCCCCAAGGAGCCATTTGCCCTTCAGACTTCACAAGCGCC